TAAGGTATAGTAACGTAAACTAATTTAACGTAACGAACTTGAAGTAACAAAAGTTTAGATCTGTAGCTAATATTCACACCACAAATATTGCCGATTGTTAACGTAACTAACGTAACTGATAACGTAAACTAATTTAACGTAACGAACTTAAAGTAACAAAAGTTTAAATCTGTAGCTAATATTCGCACCACGATCATTGCCGACTGTTTTGGTAACGTAACTTAACAATTATTTGATATCTTACTGCTTTTTTTCTTCATTTGATGAAAAGTTACTTATATCCACTGCTTAAAAAAATGATCATAAGCTCTAAAATATTCAAATCGTTTCATACTTAATATTATTTGAAAAAAAGAGGTCGTAAATTCGCACTACTATAAAGTATTAGTTCTCACATGGAACTGCTGCATCGCAGGCAACCCGAAACATCAATAACATATTTGGCTCTAGTGATAGTTCAATTTAGAATTGACTGAACAAGGGTAAGTCACAAAAACACACTTTAATACATAATATTTACTAAAAACTGTTGATGGAATTGTTAGGTGTTATATAGCAGATGTAATCTGTTATAGTTTTATGATCCTTAGCTCATCTGTCATAACAGAAATACACTGCGATAAATTCGACGAAATGATGCAAATACTTAAAGAAAAATTGCCTAGATTGGTCAGCAAATCGGCTTCGATGTTATTTGCATGACATTGCCAAACCTCACTCTGCACAAATAAGTATGGTAAAACTACAGGAATTGGAACTTCTTCATAATCCTCCACAGTCAATAGATCTTGTCTCCACTTTTTTCTAAAGTTGGATTATGTTTTAATAGGGTAACATTTATTATATTTATTTCAAAAATGCTGTCAAAGCTGTACTTCTAAGGATTCATAGTTTTCTTAGAAATAGAATAGAATGTAGAATTCAGACACTCGTACTTCTAAGACTTTCGTCCTTTAAGGTTTCATCCAAGTTGTCTGAACAATCTACCGCTTACGAGGCAAAAGTGTACTGAAAAGTAAAGTGCATACTTTGAAGAATGAAACAGTTCGTTAGATATACTTAGCCTTTTTTCCACAAATTCCATATTTGAGGATCTAATTACGAGAAAATAGAAATAATTATATTTTCGTGTGAATAGAAAAATTGAAATAAACAAGAATAATTGCTTTTATAGTCATGTTTTTAAAAGTGCATTTTTTTCTATTCGCTTTTAGCCATTTAGACAAATTTAGCAATCAGCTTTAAAGGTTTAAGAACGTTTAAAGCGGATTNATGGAAAAGTAGATAAAATCAACCTTTTACTTAAATATTAAAGAGGTAGCAAAGTGTAAGCCTCGGTTTTAAGTGCTTAAATGTCGAAATTAAAATGAAAATGAAATGTCGAAATTAGAAACTATAATAAAACTATAACTATTTTAAATGGAAGCAAAAATTGTGTGGATTTAGAAAGTTAAAAGCGCCATTTTCTGGATTTTTTTGATTTTTTTGTTAAATTTTATAAGCAAATATGTCTGTAAAAAAAAACTTTTTTATTTACTTTATTTCGACTTTTAAGTATCTTACCAATTTCTATTCAGTTAAGGTTCAAAAGATTTATTCGACTTCAAATATTTTAAATAAATTAGGAGTAACTGCCAAATATAAATGAATATCATTAACATGCAAGAAGCCTCTCTTTTCGGCAAACTATTCTAAAAGACTACATATTTGGCAATCTACTCAAGCATACTTAAAGGAGATTACGAACGAAGAAAAATCGCTTCAAATAAACCGAATTTATTTTTTAACTTAACCTAAAATTTGTTCAAGAATTTATATGTATTTATTATCACACAAGTTATCATAAGAAATGAGAAGTAATGAAATACTCAATCATACTGAAAACTCGTCCAAAATAGTTTTTTTTTTATTTGTGATTATAATGACCTCCAGTTTCCTTATCATTAATCAAACTTTATTTAAAGTTCCCCAAATTGCACTTTTTTGGCTACTTTTAGAAATTGTTGTTGCTCATACACAGGAAAATAAATTGAAGCTTAAAAGTTTTTCTGCAGCGTAAGCATTAATGAATATATTTTGAGCAAACTAGAATTTCGATTTGTATACCATTTACTTACTTCTTTTTAAGCTACACTTGACAGAAATGAGTTATTTTCCTTCTTACAAAAATACGCAGAACATAATTTTAAAGTAAGCTGTATCAAAATGTTTTTACAGTTTTTTTTCTATGAAATAAAAATGCTTCGAAAATGTTACATTTGCAATCTATGTACGCATACATTTTTATAAAAGCCTCGAGTGATTTTTTTTTATTATTTTAGTTTAATAAACATATGCCTTTCTTCAATAATTAAATTTGATAAACATCTTTCAAAAAGCCAAATAAACCATTTAATAATCGGAAATTTAAAGATTTACTGCAATATTTAGCATGCAAGAAAATTAAACTAGCAAGAATATCTATAGAATGTTTCGTAATCAATGTTACGTTTCGTAAAAGTCAACCGGAATGCAACAAAAAGTAATGAAAATATACAACGACATTATGAATTGAAAAAATCAACTTTAAAGATTACCTTAATTCAGTAAAAAAAAGTACTCGATGCAGATAAAATAAATTTTTACAAATATCGTTAAATGATAATTCCTTAACCTTATACTTCTTGTAATGTATTTATATCTGCTTGATTATCTTTATTTCAAATTCATTTATTTCAAATATTTTAACATTTTTATTTTGAAATCATCCAGTTTCTAAAGTTTGCAGAATTTTAAATCTTAAATTGTAGATTGTTTTTCTCATTTCGAGTAAAATATTGATTACTAGCTGAATACCCGTCCTTTGTGTGGTGTAAAACAGGAAAATGAACAATAAATTAGTATTGATAAACTATACTAAGAAATTATAAACAAAACTGATAGGCATATACCGACACAATTAATAAAGCTTAAGTGATTCCATCTATATTATTTTCCTTTAATTTAATTTTTATTTTATTTTATTTCATTTTTAATTTTGTCTCGGTGGTTTTACGTACTGAAATTAAACAAAAAACGTTTTTAGTAGTTCATCCCATCAGAATAGAGATTAACTGTATTCAGCATCACTTAGCATGATGCTTTTGCTCGAAGCTGACTCATGTAGTCAAAATTTACCACTGACAAGTAATTTTTTCCTGAACGCATCGTTTTCGAAGGGCAGTAATAAGCGTATTTACTCAATATCTGCAATGAAACTTCTCAGTATAGGCACAGTTTTGATAAAAACCAAATATATCACAAACCGAAATATATGAACTTCGAAAAATCCGTAGCAAATTTTCGTATTAAAACTGCACCAATTACCTTAATAGCAGTAGTAAGCATTACCAAAGTTAATAGTCATCCGTTTCAATAATAGTAAGGCGATTTCTTATGATTCTCTAAAACGAATAAGCATCTTTCCTTTTCAAAAACTTTGCTCTTTAGTACATTGCTTATTTTTTATTTCAATTAATACATATCACCAGATCCGTGGAGGCTTAGGAAATAGAGCGATCGAATCCAAATGAAGAGAACCGGGTTCGAATCCCAGCGATGGCTGGTAGATACGAATTCCGCAGTCGGCTCACGCCGACCACAGAGCTAACGTAAAATATCTTAAGTGGTAGAAAGATTATGGGTTAAAGTTCCCTTACCGTTATACTAACCGTGTCAGGTTTTCGTAGTTTTCCTCCCCACGTAACTCAAATGCCGGTTAGTTCCATCAAAAAGTCTTCCACGAAGACAAAGTTTCTCCCAATGATCCAGGAGTTCCCTTTTCTTCTGCAATGCATTCAAAATTACAAAGCTACGGACGAATTAGTTTCATCATTTTTCGCTAATTTTGCTTTCCCGAAAATAACTTTTTCTTTCTTTTCAGTTACAGTTAATTTTAAATTATTTAGTTTTATAGAAACACGTTTTAAAAGTAAAACTCTGAACAAAATAATCACATGGTATCAAATAATTTATTATATTTTTACGGGGACATAGTCTGCCTTTCCAACCACGTTCAAATTAGTCATTTGGCTTATCTGACATAACGAATAAAAAATTATTAAATATTAAAGAACATGCAATAATCTTTTTTTTTCATTAAATATAGCTTTAAGCTCTCAAACATCACTAATATCACACAAAAAATTGAATCATCTACAATTTAATTTAAAATAGTTGGTAAAGCTTAACCAATGAGAAAAGCTTTACAAAACGAACTGCTTGAAAACTTGGGATTGATAACTAAATTTGCCCCTTGTGGCCTCTGTTCAAATTTCAGAATAAAAAAATCACTGGCTCTTGAGCCTTGAGAGAGAGACATACACAGACAGACAGAGACAAATTCATTTTATTATAGATAATTACAATTATTACTCACTAAAAGAATTTAATCTGACAAATAAAAATTCTATTATAATTAACTATAAATTACTTTTTATTTAATTGCAAACAGATTGTCCTAAACTTTCCGCAGAGTCTTCAAACTACTTTTTGTGACATTAAATTCCAGAGTTTTAATTATAATAACGAGGAAATATACTTAGAAATTAACGAAAAGGAGTCAATCCTGTTTCAGAATAATGCCAAACTGTGAAAATAATCTTTTCTTGTTTTCTATATATAGACAATTAGTCGTCAGAACCAGTCAGAAATTATAATTTTTAGACACTTATATATATAAAAATCAATGTCCGGGTGCCTGTCTGTCTGTTTTGCATGTCCTTCATTAACTCCTAATCCGTCCGATTAAGAACTATGAAATTTGCTCTACTGATAGTTCAAAGCAAGAGGAAGGTAACTTTCGACATTAGAATATTCTACTGTGAAATTTCAGAGCCGGATGAGCCAAAAACGAAATGGGATTTTCTTATTGGTTTTCCAATTGTTGCAAATATTAATATTTTAATGAATTAGCATTGAAAGAACCAATTAAAAAAAATCTTCCACTACTTATAAACATTAAAGGTCAGATAGAGAAATGATCATATTCTAAAGAAGAATTTTATTTGTTCTCAAAATTTCAGATTTAGTTTGCTATCACTGATAAATGTATTTCGCAAAAAAACTCAAATGTTGAAGATTTATATAATAGGTATTAAATATACTAATACAGATATAAAGTATTGTAATGATATATGTGTTAATTATGCCGGCTGGGTGACAGTGCGGTTAGCGTGCTTGTCTGCGAAGCCAATGACTGCGGGTTCGTATCCCGCTCAGGGCGTGGATGTTTCTCTCTGTAGTGGTCCTCTGTTGAGTGTGATGTGTGAATGTGGGCCACCCTGAAAACGGGTATCAGCAGCAGTGCAGCGTGGGTAATGCTGCTCGCCTCTGTGACTTGGATTGATAAGTTCAGTGCCTGCCATTAAAAAAAACTTGTTATTTATTAAAACAGCACCATTACTGATCAGTTTTAATACAAATGCTTTGGAAATAAGCGTTGTTTTACGGCCCCTTTAAAGGGACATGTAGTGAAAGAAATTACTCTATACTGTGAAATTTCGACTATTATCAGTTGACCACGAGCAATGGCATCATGTCAAGTAATGCTGTATACAGTTAATCTCTTTTCTGATGGGATTACTAAAAACGTGTTTCTCTTAATGTAATAACGTAAAGCCGCCGGGAGGAGATCAAAATAATAATAATGAATAAAAAAAATTATTATTTTAGCTTTATTAATTGTATATCCATCAGTTATGTGCATGATTTCGTAGAGTTATTTAGTACTGATTTATTGATTATTCGTACAAAAAGCTGGTATTCAGCTAGTTTTATATAAAGTATGAATTCGATTTTTATGTATTCTCCTATTGTGCAAAGATATTTCAATCCTAGATGAATATTTACAATATGTTTAAGATATTTCAATCTTAGATGAATATTTACAGTATGTTTAAGATATTTCAATCCCAGATGAATATTTACAATATGTTTTTATCAATAAAAAAATTTATTATTTGCATGCATTCGTTACTTTATTATAAAACTATTCTGTGCAATATTTTGTATTAAGTAATTCCATATTTATTTCCTCGTTTAGTGTTATTTTTGCTTTAAGTATAAACAAAAGCAATTTTCTACACTGGAAATTTTAAAAATAAAAAATCATCGAGCAAAAAACTGAGTTTGAAAGAATATATCTAAGTTATGTATATTTCGCAGTCACAACCGATATAAAAAGAATTAAAAGGATAGTTCTAAAGTAACAAAATATAAACTGAAACTGACAGGTTTTTCAAAGCCCTGTTAATGCTAGATTAAGTTAAAGCAGATTTTTCAAAGCTTATTTTTCGATTAAAATCTAAATAAAAGTAGGCAACAAAACAAATTAAATGAAATGCAATGCTTTTTTTCATTTTGCTTTTTCACTCAATGTTATTTGAAAGTAGAAACAAACATTAAAATACTTTAATTTTCAGAAAATGTAACGTTATTTTGTTTCAACTATCTATTTAAATATTTTTAAAATCATTGCTCCTTTAAGAACATTTTCTAACAATTGTTAATGAACACATATTCATACAAATTAGAAACTTTAAGTGCTCCAGCAAATTTGCATTTAATTTAATTTATTAAACTGAAGTTATCTATTTGCACTGTCTAAACAGTGGAAACAGTCTCGATAAATTATTATATTCTAATTATGACATTTATATACGTTAATTACCTATTTACTAAAAGCAGTACTTAACTAGGGCTTTTGCCATTTATTGTTTTAAAGCTAAATGCGAAATCAGAATAATTTCTCCATTATTATAACCATTTATATAAATTTAAGCTAGTGTATGGTTGCTAGTTAATATAATTTAATGGTGATAGTCAGTTATAAAGTATTAAGCTAAATTACTTTTACATTAATTATCACTTAATATAACTAATTTTATAATGATTTTGAAGAATCATTTGAATCATTTTGCTTAAGAATTGACAAAGGAAATGTTTAACTGCTAAAGTACTTTCTCAAAAGTTTGAAATTTTGCTTAGAATAAAAGATTCCACCAATCCAAAACCTTTTACATTGGAAGTTTTTACCTTAATCTGCTCATAAAATTTCTAAACAGAATCAACTTTCGAGTATTTATTAAAAAACCAACTATTTAGTTTGAACTAACTATTTTTTTCACTAACATTATTATCTAAACATTATTATCTAAATAATAATGTACAAAACTTAAAACAATGTTGAACAATTGCAAAATTCTAAAATTATGCACAAAACTAAACAATGCAAGTTAACTTTTCATAACAATTTTGCAAATTCCTGTTATATATACATTGATCCCCTTTGTTTTTTTTCATAACTTTATTCAACCTGTTATGAATGGATTTCTTACACATGAACATTCTTTATGAATGTATTACATCTCACAATCTAAACTTGTGGTAATGTAGTGAAAAAATGAACATTACCCGTATTTTTTCGAATCATCATTACGGATCTTTCGAATCATCATCTTACTTCGTCAAAAATAACCAACTAGCATAGCTATAATGGGACTTTAGCAACCCAATAGCATATTTATGCTTATATTATAGTATTTCAACACAACAAGCAAAAATAGGTTAATTTAGTTTTTGAACAATAGTTTTGATTTTCTATATTACTTCAATACTTCATATTTATTGCTATTATTTTCCTTATCCCCATTTTTTCCACTCAGTACATGTTTTCATAAACTTCTTTTAAAAATTAGATTCTTCAAGTGACGTCCTCGTTGGTAAATCATGGCATTTGTCGATTCAGAAACCAATCAGGTTTGACACACACGCGTGCCACTTCCAGGGATCCAATTAAATCTGATTTAAATAGCATAGTTAGGCATAATTGCTTCACTTCTTCCTTAGTTGCATGCATCAATTGAAGCCAGTATAGACAATATTTAATCATTAAATAACTAAAAGTCGTTAACTATTGGTACTTGCAACTCGAGAAGAAGTGAAATAATTATGCCCAACCATGTGATTTAAATCAGATTTAAAAGGATACCTGTAAGCGATATCACACGTGTGAGTCGAGCCTGATTGGTTTCAGAGTCAACAAATGCCACGATTTACCAACAATGACGTCACTTACAATTATCCTGGAAATCATCAATAAATTCCCTCCACACGACAGCAAAATATTCTCTGATGGCAGTAAGATGAGTAGGCAGACAGGCAGTGGAGTGTTTATTGAAACACCTCGAGAGAACTACACTCTTCATCAACGCAACTCCGATTTTTGTTCTGTCTTTCGAAGCGAACTAATTGCAATCGACAGGGGACAAAAAGAAGTGAAGTGAAGTGAAATCTTGAGTGAAGGGCACTTTGGAAATACTTGGATACTATCTAATAGTCGTAGTTCAATTCAACACCTCAAAAATTGGGTCCTCATTGGAGATAAAACCAGTTTTTCGATCTTACAAAAAGTAAAGCTCATTCCCCAGCAGCATGAAGTCCACTTTCACTGCATCCTGTCCCACGTCGATATCCAAGGAAACGAGTTGGCTGACACTCTTGCAAAGAAGGGATTAGATCATCCAGTCCCCTCCACCTCAGAGCTTACGTACCTTGAACTTTTCGCATGGCAAAAGTGGCTGCTTCCACCTATTTACTACTGTTATAAAGCAAAAAGACCAGGACTCTCTCTATCTCTTCCTGGCAAAACAACACTTGCTTATCCCGACTGGCCAGTGGACACCTGAAAAGTCTCACATTTTCTGCTAATCATAAGATTTTTCCTCTTTGCCCTAAATGCCAACAAAACCAGGCATCACCTGAGCACATCTTTAACTGTTTGGGGATGGACTGGAACGACATTCATTCCTCTCTCCTTTTAGTTTCTGACTTCCTAAATTTCAACGGATTTATTGATCTGGTCTGACGGAGTCAGACCAGATGGGAATTAGCAACAACAACAACAATTATCCAATTCCAAAATTTTGACCACAAGATTTAAAAAGTTCCGACACTGATATCCTTTATAGGCATGTATCTTTATCAAATAGAATATTTAACCTTTCTCAATTTTTTGCAGCTTTCAAAATCTGGTAGGAGCACAGTCTATCTAAGGAACGTTAGTTTGGAAACCGAAGGCCGCTTCACATGCCAGGTCTCTGCTGACGAGCCATTTTTTGGCTGTGTTCAAGTACATAGAGATATTTCTGTTTATGGTTCGTAAATTTTTAAAAATTTTCTTATTTCAAAATCTTTTTTAAATTGAACGGATTAGTTTTTACCTATGTTAACAATATGTGAAACTAAATGAGAGATACAAAATGAGAATTTCTTTAATAAGAAATGTGCTCAAAAACGCAAAAGCAGTTTAAAATTAATAGAAAGAGCTGTACTTTGCCCCATTTTTAGCTTTTTTTACACAGTAATAATCCAAATATTTCAAACATTTTCTGGAAAACACAATTTACATTTGTTTGGTACTATTTTTTGGGAAATAAACTTCAGCAAAAAAATAAATAAATTAGTTATAAAAATAGGTTAGTGGTGCTGCTCCTTTGGCCATTGAATACTGCGCATTGAATAGCACTCATTTTCAAACTTGAAAGACTCTTTTAAACTTTATTGAGGAGGGATAGACACGAACTAAAACTTCTTTTTTACAATATTTCCAAGTTACCTGTATTATCGTACTTAAATTAAAAGAATCAGAAGCTTTTACCAAATAATATTTCAGTGTAATATTTGAATAAGAAAAATATGTAAGCTATAAGAAAATAAACATTTTTTACGTATTTTATGTTGCTAAGTTCAAAGGGAATTATATTTGTACTTACTAGCATGCAAAAGCACCTATTGCACATACTTTAGCCTGTCCAACGTATGACATTGATTTAAAGCATAACAAGCACATATTTTTTATGTTTCGTTAGGTTTAGAAAAAATAAGTTATTTCTCTTAAAAATGGTTTATTCTTTAATAAAGTTCTACATTTTGCTACTTATCTACCTTGATTTTGTTTTCAAATGTAAGTGCTTCAGTGTTCCTATAAGTTTGATTGGGGGAAAAATACGCAGCAAGTAGAAAATAAAATAAAAGAGAAAAACATCTTATTTAAAAAAAAATTCAAATACAATGTCAGAATGATACCATTAAGTAAATATACAGATTCTACTTATGATAGACCAAAGTCAACATTTGCAGAGCTGTTTTAATGGCAGTAATGATAGAAAAAGTCATTAAATAACGTCAATTAAAATTTAAAAAGCACAAAAGTATTTTTCCGCCTGACTGTTTTTCACTAGAATGGAAGTCAACACTTCATTTGCTCAGCTGTGACTTCAAAAATGATATTTTTTTCTATTTTTGTGATAGATTAAAAGACGTGTATGAATAGTTTAGAAAACGTTCAGCTGATTCTCTTGGCTTTATTCCATATTCCGTGATGGATGCTGGCTGATTGTTAGAACTGAACTTTAATGTTTGGAATTTACTCAAGTGTTATATCCTTAGTCCTACGGATTTTTAAGTCCACACACAATTTCTTAGAGTGTAGTAAAAATTTTTACACAGTGGGCCAGCATCCAAGGTTTCGTGGCCAAAATTCGTATTTCGATAAAATTTGTTTCAAAATTTGGGGGGGTTTATTTGCAGGTAAATTGAATTCATAGTTAAAATTTTGAAATACACTAAAAATGCCACAAGAAAATGGCGGCTGAAGTATGGCGAGCAAAAATAAAAAAAAATAATATAGTACGTTTAAATAATTAAATATAGCAATGAAAATAGAATAATTTTCGAAATTTTATTTTAAAAATAAAAAGCAAATTATATTTCCGAAATAATATTACAAAATAACGCGAATTAATTTCAAAATAAAGCGAAAACATGAAGAAAAAA